TTTCAAGGTAATCGACAAAAGCGATGAATCTGGCAGAACCTTCGAAGTATTCATGACACCCGAAGACTTTCTTAGATCGTTCACTCCTGGTGTTATGCAGCCGAGGAAATATGGTCTGGACAGTTACAAAATTTACCAACCAGAGGTGATTTTTTAGTTTTCCAATGCTAATGTCCCTGTTGACAGCAACCAATGGAGTGCATACTTCTCTCGCTAGAGAATGATTTGTTGTCAACCTTCTATAGATTTCCTGGACTATAGATGGAGTTATTGTTTATTAGCACCTCCCTCTATGAAAAGAGTGCGTAAAGTATCCTGCATTGCATAACATTTTGTGAAATTATGCACGTCCATGTTTCAGGCAGGGTTGGAGAAATTGTGCTGTAACGTAGCAGGCATTTTGCGCGCTGTAAAAATAAAGTTTTATCCGTTAGAGAACTGTTCCGCTTTCCAGTTGAATTATTCAACTCTCATAAGACAATGCAGAAAATCCAACAGAACCTACCTTATCTACTTGCCGACAGAAAATCCCATTTTCATGTCGTCTGTGCCACTCCGCCGTTGGCAAATTGTGACCACACCTTTCATAAGTCGCGAAACATTGAGCTCATGTAGAGCCTGGCTTGCTACTCATTCCTGAGACGATGGTCTATAGTGGACGAATCTTCCTTTTTCGGATTATGACCTGCTTTTTGTATCACTGTCTTCTAAGAATGGGAGTGTGTTGCCGCACAGTAGAATTGGTGTGGCAACAAAATCTCTATGGGCTCGTACTGCATCGAGACAACTGTTCCGGCATTACTGTGGGTCTTTACTTCCTTGTGCGGTACAAGGAAAGCTCTCCCTTTTCCATATTCTCGATGCAATGCAGTGGATTTATCGACCGAACTTAAACAATCGCTAAACACAGCAGTGACAAGGATCTTTTACGCAGTGTTTTAGAAGAGCAATCGTCTCATTTTCAAATGTATAATCGTTTCACTTTCAGAGGTATAAACACAAATTCTCCGATAAGACAAGTATCTTCTACAAGTTGGGTGAAAACGGTTTGATCAGCTTCAGTGACTATTTATTCCTCATGACCCTGCTTTCGAGTGAGTTTCGTTTGTAAAGAGTTTTCATGCCAGAAGTTTATCTGAAAAAATTCCCTGTCGTTTCTTCAGCATCACCAAACGATTTTGCTCTTGCTTTCAAAATCTTCGATATAAACGGTGACGGTGCCCTTGACAAAGAAGAGTTC